TTTTACCAAATGATGGGTTTGATTCCCTTAGTTTTTCAAAAGTTGGCACATCAGCCTGTAGACTGATGTGCCAATTTTTGTGTGATTGTTTACTTGGGAGCAATTTTATATGGTGGGCAAAGTCTGGCTTGAGTTTTAAAATATCAACCTTTTAACATTTCATAAACATTTCTGCAGGTTCATTTTTGACATCCTGTGCTATCTATCATCCCTCCCCCCCAACCCCTGGTTCCTCATGTATCCCCCAAGATTGTTGGGCTGAGGAAATATATACACCTAATTATGGAACCGTGTCTGGGGGGGTGTGTTACTCTTGTTAACAATTACCCTTTAATTTTTGTCAGACCAGGGCATTTATTTTCAACTACTTAAAACAGATAACCAAATGTTAATGTATCCAATCAAACCCATTTAGCTTCAGAAATGTCAAAATTATGATAATTGTAAAATACCTGTCATTCTTGATTCTATAAAAAAGGTTATTAGACTTGTCTATTTAAGAAATTTGTATCCTATCCAAAAGTCTGTAAATGCAAAAATTAGAAACTGAATGTATTGGAATTTAGTCAACATTTGAAAGGCTCAAGAGCACTTCTAGATACTTTTGAAGCCTTTATCAAGGGGAAGCCAAGCTATGTAATTTGAAGGGACATTCTTGCAGCAAGTATAGACTGGCAGAGTTGGGGTGGGGAGAGGAGGAATGTATATATAGAAGTTCTTTGTTGATTCAAAGATTCAGAGTGGAATTAAATGTAATATTTTATTGTGTATGTGAAATGTTTGAGTTGACGATGCTTATCAGTGTTTTGAGAGATGTTCTATAAGATATTGGGTATTCACTGTAAAGTGGTTTAGCAGTAAAAAGAAATTGCTTGGATTACTGCAATGTAGTTTTTAAATGTCATTTTTCTTGTACAAAACTTTAGCTGAATTTTCTTGAATGGTATGCAAACCATAAATTAAATTTTAGCCAAAATGAGGGAGGCATTATGGGTAGTGTTATGGACAACTGCATTTTAGGCCAGGCTTTTGTAAAGAATGAAACTCTGGTTTACTGCTATGACATGTGGGTATCCTCTTACTAAAACCTTCTTTGTGAAAATGCCTTGCCAAAGACTAATTGTATCAAACCATTTTTTTTGTTCACAGTATCTTGTAAAGCACTGCGGTAAGGATCAGTTCCACGTGCGCGTTCGGCTCCACCCCTACCACGTTATCCGCATCAACAAAATGTTATCGTGTGCTGGTGCTGATAGGTAAGTGATAATTTTGTCTATGAACATGTATTAAGTGTGACCATTTTTTTAATAGATTGTCCTATTGTACCCCATCTGTTTTCCTTGGGAGTGCAGTTGTTAGTATGTGCTTCCTTCAATGGGTGGGCAAAGGAGAACCAGGTTGTGTAAGGCGTGTACATCTGTAGTGCTAGCCTAAGAATCTCTGGATACAAAATTAGAAGTAATAGATTTGGGAAGAAAAAAATAAATTTTTTGATAAACACTAACAAAAAAAAATTGCCTCCAGATTGCAGACCGGAATGCGTGGTGCCTTTGGTAAACCCCAGGGCACTGTTGCCCGTGTCCAGATCGGTCAGCCCATCATGTCTGTGAGGACCCACGACCGTCACAAGGAGCAGGTCATCGAGGCTCTCCGACGTGCCAAGTTCAAGTACCCTGGACGTCAAAAGGTAAGCCAACTTGGGCTTTGGTAAATTGGGAAGTACTCAAAATTTTTTTTTATATATATTAAATTTTGTCATAATGGTGAAAACTTTCATATTACCTGTTGTGCATCTTTTTTGAGAACCTTACACGTCTACTGAAACTGATCATTATTACTGTCGTCAGAATTTGACTGGTTCATTCAGGCTTGACGAAGGTTTAAACATCACTCGGTTCAGCATTTCTGATATATCTGCATGTATAGCATTTAATGACAGAACTGAAAACAATTTTAAATAACCAAAATAAAGTACCCCACTCATAATTCAAAGGAGTAGAGCTGTCAGTATTTACTTCTGTGAAACGGTGGGCAAAGTAAACCCGATTTGTGTATGGTATGAGCATTTGTAGCTCAGACCAAAGAATGTCTGGGAACAGACTTTTATGCAACTTAATTTAAGCTAGAATAGGTTTTCCAAGGGTTTTTGAATACAAACTTGCACAAGTGGTTGTGTGAGTATTGTACAGTTAGTTTAACCATGTTTCCCATCCATTCTATGGAGTTGGGTATTGGAAGTTTAGGCTAATTTTAAGAAAACCATAGTTCTTTACAGATTTCTCTTCATGCTTGTTTTCCTCTGCAGATCTTTGTTTCCCGCAAATGGGGCTTCACCAAGTTCGACCGTGAAGATTTTGAGGACCTCCTGGCCAAGGGTCGCCTTAGGCCTGACGGTGTGACTGTGCAGTACCTCCCAGAACATGGTCCCCTTAATAGATGGAAGAAGGTCCAGTTGGAACTTGCTGGTCTTGCTTAAGTCTCATTAAACATGAAGGAATGATTCTGGTTTTCACTGTCCTCCATTAATTAAAACTGTTGTAAGAGTAGTGAATGTGAATAATATACTGTATTTGAAAGCAGAAAGCATTTTAAATTTTACAGGTTTTATGGATTTTTTATTGAAACAAGTTTAGGATCTAAAGGAGTTGATATAAAATCTGCCAATCCTTAACCAACCTTTACCAATATAACAAGTTCATAGTATGAGTACATTTTAAGTGAGTGCCTCTAGTGCTTAATAATTAGTGTCCTACCTATCTCACCTGTTTATCCCTTTCCTTGACTTTTGAAAAGTTTTTTTTTTTTACCCATTTGCCCCATGTGGCAAGAATACATGCCATGCCCACTGTGATACACGTTTATTTATTGTATTTACACATGGATGGCTCCAAGGTCTTAATCACCAAATAGCCAGTTATCAAGAAATACCTATCCCACCTGTTTACCCACTCCCTTCTCTTTAGGAGAGGGTCTTTAGTATCATATCTAAAAGATTTTAATGACAATTTAATAATCATAACATTAACAATAACAGTACTTAGCGATAGCAATGGTATTAACTTTCCTGCCAATTCAATGAATGGTGAAATCAGGATTGGTAACTAGGGCATACTGATACTCCTTGCCGATTGAGCACATGTCTAGCAATCTTTATGTAACAAAATTCACCAAAAACTACAGGGGACAGAATATAAATCCAGGGCGAATGGGTTAATGTTAGGCTAAACATAATGTCAACAGCGTTAACTGCATAAAGAGAGATCAGGAGAGGGCACATAAACTTGCTACTAGACTCATTTGTCTCGAGTTTGTGGAACCATCCGAGTATGAACAAAAATGTCAAGAAAATTAGAAAATGACAGTCAGTAGTCACCCTTAAGTTGAGAAACGGGAATGGTTGGGGCTTCAGGGCCTGCAATATGAAATAAACCTGATTTTGCTATAACATACACAATACATTGGAGGAAGAAACCTGCAAATTGTAATGTCAATAGCAGGCACAATTTTTTTTTTCATTTGTTAAACCATATTGGTAACAGGTTGGAAATGATCAAACTGCCATCACCTCCATTTTACTTCAACTTTGTTGGCAAATAACATTAGTGAGTGTTTCACCCTGGTGGAGCCATACCCCCCCCCAATCCTGTTGTGGAGGATCTTGGGAGACAGATCGAACCAATATAGGGAATTACCCCTGCATTGGTCCTCAGCCCTTTCCTCGACTAATTTTGCATGGTTATTTATCATTTCCTTTTCACCTTTCTTCATCCCCATGCTCTGTCCACTTATCCTAATCGTTAAACTCGTATTAGCCTTTTTTGCCACAGTACTTAATCATAATGCTTCCTACTCCCTTAACTCCCCCTTCTAACAACCATTGCCTTGTGCTATACCCCATCAGCTTCCCCTCGCCTTTTCACTACCATACTACCCTCTATCGCTGTTTAACCTGTATCTTTACCCAAATCATTAGCTTGTTCCTATCCCTTTTCACTAAACCAGAACACACATGACCTTTGTCATATAGCACTTCCCTCCTGGGTGCTTTTCCCCTCAAGCCGCTAATGACAGAAGACACGGCAGAAAATTTTCAATAAATAAATGGAGCCATGGGCATGGTATTCCCATTTAGTTGTGTAGCCCTCATGGGGACTGAGGTGTGGACCATCTCTCCCTAATACCCCCTCCCCCCCCCATTCCAATGCTACTCTGCCGTGGGGTCGGAGACTGGCACCCAATGCTAGGGACCAACCCTTCCTTGGGCTTCAGCCTTTGACTCAACTAATTTTGGACGAACTTTTCTATTCTCCCATTCCTTTTCCTTCTCTTTATCCCCCTTCGTCTACTTATCCTAGTTATTAACAATTTTTTTTTACCCTTTTCGCCACAATATTTCCATAATGCTCTACCTGAAGACTTCGCCCCCAAGCCCCCACCCTTGGGGGGTTAGGAGACGGTGACTGGGACCAAGTGCTGGGGATCTCCCCAGCCTTGGGCCTCAGCCCTCGACTTGACTAATTAGTTTCCGTCCCTTCTCCAAACTCTTCTACTATCTACTTCCTAAGATGTGAAAGCCGTGTTTTGAAAGGAGGAAAGGCTGACTTTGTGCCAGTCATGAACGGCTTGGGGAAGCCATGAGCACGGTTTTCCACTGTTTAGTTATCTAGCCCTTAGGACTGTTTCTCTATCCAATATACTCTAGGGATGAGGCTTGCCCCTTCATCAAATAGCCCCACCGGTTCCCCGACCCTAGGCTCTCATTTGACCACGACTCTGAACCCTACAACTACAACCCCCTCCTCAATGCCTATGAGTACCTCCACCCATGTCAACACTCAACCTCCAGGAGACATTCCTATTCTCCCTACATCCTCATCTCCATCCCCTCAACCCCCACAACTTTCTTCATCAACCACCTCATCCTCCGCTATTATTACTTAACAGACTTATTGTCCACCTACTACCTCTCTCAACACCACTCCCTCCTCCATGCGTCCCTGTCCTACCACACCATCTCTACAAATATCTTAAATACTCTATATTTAGCCCAGCCAAATGGGACCGATTTTTCGTGCCCCCCCCCCCCCCACACACACACACACAAAGGTCCTTACTCTGACGGTTCTTTTCTCTTCCAGCAATGTCTCATAAAACAGATAGACAAAGTCTCCGCAGCCGACCCGATTGTTCCCGTCTTGTCACTGTTACATCTGAAACCCAAACTATAGCATATAGCAACCCTAACTAATTTCCACAGAACGTCATCCAACCCTCAATACTTGTACCGAAACTGCCTGCCTCATTGACTATGATGTAATATCAGTACAGTGCTACTCCATTCCTCTAGAGGCCATCGTAAGAACCCCACCAACAATGCAAAATTACTTTCCGTAGACATGACCTCTCCTTTAATGTTTACATTGGTGGAGAATCCCTACCTATTCGACCATATCAACCACCTTCCCGATAGTGTCAAAATTGTTAGTGTTTAGGACATCCTGCCAAACACTGCCGTTCCACAGCCGGAAGCCCTCTATGTGCCCAACCTGGTCATAACCGATCAAACTGCTCTGCACAATCACTTACATGTACCAACTGTGGCGGCCCCCATAATATATTTTATAGGGGCTTCCCTACATACAAGTTGAGGTGGTAACTCAGATTCAGACTTGGTCTCACTCTGCGTGAAGCCTGACAGGAAGCACGTCGACGTTTTTTTTCTCTTACTCCCTATTCCAGTAATATCGCTCGCAATTATCCTCCGTAGGCATACACGGAAACATGGGTGTCTTTATAAAATCTTTCCCCTCCGATTGCCTCTTCCACATCATTACCCTTTCCTCAGTTCGAAAGAATTCCGTAGGGCAGTGTGTTCAGCACCATCGTATTCCTTCTTGCAGTTAGTGACATTGTATCAGTGCTACTACCAAGGGCCCGGTCATCACTATATGTTGATGATTTAAACATCTTTACCTCTGGCACATCTATACCAACTATCCGCTAATTCCTTCAGTCTACAATATCATCAATATCCTCCTGGGTCACTACCCATGGCTTTCTCTTTTCTACCTCCAAATGTTTCTCCATCCTTTTCTCTCGCACACATGTAGGTCTCCAACCTCCACTCTTCTTATATTGCGCTCCATTCCAATACCGTTCTTCTGGCAAATTCCTTCGAATTTATTTTTTCGATTCCAAATTGTCCTGGCGAGAACATGTCTTTTCCATTAAAGAAAAAACTCGTCGCCGCCTCCGAATCATACAGACTCTTCCCCATATATTCTGGGGATCAGATCGCAAAACTCTCCTCCATCTTCATTATTTCCTTGATCCTCTCCACTCTTGATTATGGATTCCATATCTACTCCTCTGCTTCAGCCTCCCTTCTTGCTCATCTGTATACTGAGTCAGGCATGCCGTCTCTCGATGTCGTACCTTTCTCTCCGATGCTATGCTCGATTCCACCAACTTTCCCTCACCAAACTAACTATCCCGTGGCCCCTACTTCCTACGTTTGCTTCTTTTCCACGTTTATCTATTCCTTTTTCCATTTGCATGGATACCCTCTTCTTCCATTCTCCTTTTCCCCATCTCCGACCTCTTCGTTTTTTGTCCATTCCGTTCCTCCATGGCTTATACCTTAACCCCGTATTTGCTGCTGTTTTCCCTGACCCCCAAAATCAGACATCCCCGCCCTTCTATTCTTCTTAGTCATTTCCTTGACCATATCTCCATTCATTCCGCCAGTATTCATGTTTAAACTAATGGCTCCAAATCCTCGTCCGGTGTTAGTTTCTTCTTTCATTATTTTTACTGACTCTCGTAAATCATCATACCTCATAAAATCTATGAAATCGACCAATCCCCTTGCATGTAAGACTCAGAAGTGGTTGTTCTACCAGTCCACAAGCCATAAATCTGTCAGATTTTGCTGGGTGCCCAGCCATGTTGGAATCCCCGGCAATAAACAGGTAGATACTCTAGCACGCTCTGCCGCAATGTCCACATCACAACATCGTTTCTCACGTATTCCAGCCATGAATTATTACCCCCACTTTAAGACCTTCCTTTATAACAGATGTCAGTCTTTCTGGTCAAGACTTCGCACTAAGAAATTACACACTAAAACTATCAATTTCCTACTGGTCAGCGCCATTTCATCGGAACAGACGTTGGGAGACGGCTCTCGCCTGTTTACGTTTTGGCCACACCCGTCTAACACACTCCTATCTGATATCACGTTCTGATCCGCCCCTATGTTCCCTATGTAATGTCCCTCTTTCAGTTCCACACATTATGTTGTCCTGTCCACACTTTACTGCAGCCGTACCTCTGCTTTCCCCCACTTATCCTCCCTTCACCGACCTCCCAACCTATCAGGCATCTTTACGGAATCCCACACTTTCTGCTTTGACAGCCTGTTCTCCTTCCTCCGACGCATACATACCCTTCACTTGATTTATTTCCCCTTACCTAATCCTTCCTTAATCCATTCACTCA